AGACAGACAGACAGACAGACAGACAGACAGACAGACAGACAGACAGACAGACAGAGTCCTCATCATCATCACCAACATAATTTGTATTGTGTTGAAGCAAACAAGTATGGAATGATGAATATGATGAAGTATCTGTAGTTTCACTATCGCCCTGCACTGCTTCATCGGGATAAGAATTTAAAGAAAATATAACCCGATAGCATTATAGTAACGACAGCGTTCACTTTTTATTTGATGCCCAACTGGGCCAACGAAAAGGCATATCCCTGGAACAATTAAGGGAAAAATAAGTTGAAAAAAAAACTTCTTATCAAATTCTTAGAATTTATTCTGGAGTTTGACCCATGCCAGGTGAATTGGCTAGTTTTACGAGCGTAAAATTCATTTAGCTATAACAGTGTTTATTGTCAGCTTATCTATAGCCGGCGCCCACTTTCGACACTGTTGATTAAAAAAGCTAAAATTCTTGTTTGGCTCTCCTACATGTGTTTCCAAGCGGGGCTTTAAATGATACCTCAATCCACCCTAGTGACCCCAACGCTTACCACGGATTTTTAAAAAAGTGTTTCACGGCGCTCTCAACTGTATGAGGTCATATGAGCGCGAGGGACACACCAAACATTTTTAATTGGTAGGAAATTTGGAATTTCCCCCGGGTGGCGGCCGAAGCCTACTCTTATCGATTATGGACCACCTAGTGATCTTTAACGTGCACAACTTGCACACGGAACTTCAGGGATTTTTCGCCCTTTTGCAGGATTACTACCAGAATATCAGGCAGGGGTGTGGCTGAAAGACACCAGTAAGAAGGAGCCAAAGAGCCGCAGTAGAAAGGCTGCAGAAAGAGTCAGAAGCCCAGAGGGGGGGGGGGGAGGGGGTGGAGGCAGAAAATGGAGACGAAAGCAGACGACAGAACGTTGCTAGAGATCGGGAAAGGAGGTGAAAGGAGACAATTTTAGAGAAGAAAATTTTGCCGTCGCTACCCGAATTCGAACCCGGGGCTTTTGAATGAGAGGCGAACACCGTAACCTCTAGGTCACGAGAGCTCCCTACCAAGGTTTATAAATCTTCCACTAGTAGGCAATGTCGCCCAGGTTGGCAAGTTCTCATCTATAATAATAAGTGAGACAGCGTGGTGGACTCAGGCTATCGTCACAATTATCAAAGTGAAGAAACTTGCATTTTTTCACAGGTTTGTCAATTTTTTAAATTTTTTTTTTTTGGGGGGGGGAGGTCTCAGCACCTTTCATACCCTTTAAAGAACCCATTTCTGTGTGAATTTTTTCTGAAAAACGTAGATTAAAGGCACAAAAAACGTAAATGTTCAGTTACCACGTCCTCTTAAGCTAAGGAAATAACTAATCTTTGGCGGCCACTTTCTCACTAATTTTACCTCTGAAAACAGGTGACCCCCATCTCTTTCTTTTGCAAATATCTCGACTTGTATTCAAGATAAATGGGTATTTTTTTCATCCAAATAAACACGTGAACAACCTTTAAGAGTATACCAATAACTCTACATGCCCAAAAATTGACGAGAGCCTGATTCCACCACGCTGCCTCACATTATATTCGAATCGTTCTGGTGGGTGGTTTGCGGGTACTCTGTTGTGGTTTGCTCCATCTTTTCTGTGAAACATTTGTTTTCATTTTTGCTCCTCTTTCTTTTCTGAAACTATGTTACTTTCAAAGAACACCCTTAATCTATGTCGTCGGTAGTCTTGTTACTTGTTATAATTTACAAGTGGTTAGGCTACCCGACTCGTTATCATCAGGTTGTGGGTTCGTGGGTTCGAACTTTAGCCTCGATGTTGTGCCTTTGGAAAAGGTACTTAGGACGACTTTTTCTCACTTCACCCGGGTGGAAACGGGTGACCAGCCATAGACAATAAAGGGTCCTATCAATATGTTAGTGTTTTAGCGCCTTTAAAAAGTCAGCTTTAACTGTATAGTTCACTGGAAGCTGAGACTTTCAGAATGCTGTCAGGCCTGCTCGAGTAAGAATAGATTGTAAAGTGCATAGTGCTTGCTTTACAGCGGGAATTTGCGCGAAATAAATGTTATCTATTTTTTAAATAGATTATTATTTTTTTTTTGTATCATAATCATTATCATTGCCAATATCATTTTGTTGTTATTACTGTATGTGCCGTAAACTCTTAACTATTACTATTTCTTTTTTAAAAGAAATTGAATTCATATTGACATGTTTTACATTTTGTTTTTTCTCTCAGGTGGCTCGTGTGTCCGTGTGTGTCAGCGGAATATCTCCGGTTATGGAAGATTCAAGTGTCTTCGACTAGTGTTTATCGTCTTTGCCGCAGGAGGTTTCATATTTTTCCTCTCGAATCTGCTGTCGCTGCATACGGCGAGAGAACGTGTCGGTGTGTTTCGGCGATTGTACGAATCTGTTAGCTTTCAAAACAGATTCGATGACTTTCCTTGTAATGATACGTCTCTTTCAAGTCCAGCTGAACTTTCAAACGTAACAAACATTTCCCCGGACTTGGCGCAGTTTCTATCCCTGCCTGTGATTAACCCTCACCCTTACGAATACGTCCACAACCACGAGGGAAGATGCCAGGCGCAGCGGCCAAAAGTTCTCTTTGTTGTTCCGTCCGCTCCGGATAATTTCGTGCGACGACAGAAAGTGAGGCATTCGCCTCTCATGGAGTTCTTAAGAAAAAGTTCGTGCAATGCTACTCTGTTATTTTTTCTGGGTCTTCCAGCATTTAGTAAAAGGACATCAGAGAAAATCCAAAGGAGGATAGACTCGGAATCAGAACAATATAAGGATATTATTCAGGCCGGTTTCAATGACGCCTACCAGAATATACGCCTGAAAGCCGTGTCGATGCTGAAATGGGCGAGCATATATTGTTCTAACGCCAGTTACGTCATTAGAACAGATGACGACATAAAATTTGACGTCGGTGAGGTTGTGGGAGCAGTTTATCGAGCTGGTAAAGCGCACAGGAATTTTGTTCTTGGCAACCTAGCCTTGGACTGGAAGGTTATTCGAAATAAACAGTCGAAGTACTACGTCTCACGCGAGGAGTTCGCTTCTGATGATCTACCGCCTTTTGCTCTTGGGGGTCTGTTGGGGTACCCGCTAGAGTCTGTGAGACTTTTGTACGAGGCATCGCTGAGGACCAAACCGCTGTGGCTTGATGATGTGTACATTACGGGTATATGTGCTCCGAGGGTGAACGTAACACTTTTAGGAGATCCACAGTTTACATTTCGACACTAAAACGTACTTTAAAAGGGTAATAATATACAATTATAATTCATATTATATGCATTTGTAATTTAGATAGTTTGTTGTTGGTTTTGTTCAAGTGTTGGTTCATTTGACCCTGCCTCTCACTGGGTGGATTTACTTTTCGGAAACTTCCCCATTTGGGAATTGAAATCATGGGTTCTGTGTGCAACAGCAATATTAGACTTCCTGCCATACAGATTACAAATGTGTAAAGAATATGCCATAGATAATATCATGCTCAAGAGATTAGCCTTATAACAGTTACATGTAAGACGTAATTGTTCTTGGAGTTGGATCTTATCACCCCTTTTGCCACAACGCAAGACGTTTTTGGTAGCGTATTGCAGTGCACAGTGCTCAGTCTTACTTTGACTTTTACTGTTACTTTTTGAAATTTTCATCCCCTACTGCCCTCGAGGAAGTGTGCGGGGGGGGGGGGATATGCAGATTTTATAGCTTTTTTTTAAGGGTAAGCCAACTTTGCAGCTATTTCAAATTGAGATGTTGTAGTATCTCAGAGTTCCCTTGACTCCCTCAATCCATGTTTTGCGTGACCTGCCTTTCCTTTGTTGCCTGCATACTTGGTGCTATGTGCTCTAGAATCTGGCTGACACGGTGACATTAGTAACAGCAAACCATTTTATTATTTGTTGTTCTTTGAAATGCAGTAAGTTTTCTGTACTAACAGTTGCCTTTACTTAAGAGCTTGCTGTTGAGCGGGGATTTGTGCTATTCAAATGCTATATATCTATCTATTTTGATTTCACTGCTTTTATTTTACATCTAGGTCTGGCACTAGTCACATACTTTTGGTATAAATGTATTGGAGGGATAACATATGCATTTGTGTCCATGGAGATGTTTGGACAAGATAGAAGAGGTGCGAGCTGACAAGTGATAGTGTTGGCTTTTTTGGTTCGTATTTAGTTTTTTATTTACATGGAATTTTAGGGGACTATGCTGCCGTCAGCTGACAAAACGCCTTTTTTTCATTTTGGCGCGAACATTTTTTATTTGATAAATCGATAGTCTGACCTGTTACCCAACTTGTGTGAAAAAATCAAAGTGAGAATGTGACTAGTTTTTGAATAAATTAACATTCAAATTTCGGAAGAACGCCTTTTAAAAATGGTTACGCTGACTAAACGCCTTTTTTTAAGAGTTCGCTGACAAAACGCATTTTTTTTCGCCGCGGCTTTGAAAAAAAGGCGTTCTGTCAGCAAATTCTGTTCAAGGAAAAAGCTGACAAAACGCCTTTTTATTGTCTTGTTCCAACACTGTAATAGTAATTCTCGTCTTGAGTATGATCTCCCCACGCCTCCCCCCGCCCCTCTTCACCCAAACACACATACAAACACAAACTCTCTCTCTCTCTCTCTCTCTCTC